CTGACTGACTGACTGACTGACTGACTGACTGACTGACTGACTGACTGACTGACAGACAAGTCCAGGCTCTTTCTCCCTCTTTCTTCACTCACCCCAACCTGCCCATCACTCTCAGGGGCTGCCCAGAGTCACAATTCTCAGCCTGGAAAAGCCCCATTTAACCCCAACAAGACTGGGCTGACCTTCTGGCGCCACCCCAACCTACGTTAATTCTACCCTGTTGTTTTTCAGGCCCATCCCAACCTCCCCCCCTTTCTCCAGCCCCTTACCTGACTTTTGCCAGGAAAATTCGGGGATCCAGAGGGGACTGGAGATTGGAGAGGGCATCTTGGTAGGTCTCTTGGCGCATACAAGTGTGCATGAACTCCTTGGTTTGAGGTTTGGTGTTTTTCTGGGCACTGACCTTGATGAGGTCATTCAGGGCCTTCAACTTGTTGAGGGCTTCGCTCTTGAGTCCGGAGAGAGAAGGAAGGTTAGACACAGTTGGATCCTGCAAGGCACTTACTCAGACACCAGTTACAATCAATCCTCTTGAGGTTAGAAAGGTCACTTGAGCTGGAGCATTAACTCACATGGTTTGGTCTTGTCCTATTCTTTTCGCCTTTGCTGACATCAACAGAATTGGTGTGACAACTCTAGGTCATTCGCTGTGTGTCCGGCTCACGCAATACCGGGGGACAGGGGGGTTACAAGGCATTTTGTGAAGGATACATCCAGCCTTCAACGGTTGTGAATTTTGGGATAGCCGCCACGTGACTCAGCATGTTTAACCAGCTCACTGAAAGACCTAACCACTCTGCTTGCCCGATATCCAAAACGCAGCTAATTAAAACCTCAGTGAGGATTTTGTTCATCAGTTCTCAGCTTATGATGCGATGTTTGGGACTCAAAAGAGGTTAATTCAGCAATTAGGTGGTGAATTAGGGCGACATAATGTAACTCGTCAGCCTTTCAACTCTGCAATTTGATTAGCCGACGTGGCTGGGAAGTTTGGGGCGGATTTGCACAAGTCAGGATAGGTTGGAGAAGAGCAAAAGCCTTGCGGGGGTGGGGGGTGGCTTTCGTCTGCCCCTGTTAGCCCTTCGGGGTAGTCCAGACAAGAAACAAGACAATCCTAGCTCTGTCTTCATTATAAGGTGACATGAACAGAATCTTGCAAGTCTGAAAGCATTTCTCCCCTTCTCATCTTTTACTCTCCAGAAAACTAGGGAGGGTCCCTTCTGAAACGCTTCCCACGCCCTCCTGTGGGCTGAGAAATCTTTCGCCTGACGGTTGTCCGGTCTGCGGCTCTCCCTCCCGTCTCCCAAGGCCATTCCCACGTGCCATGACAGCATCCTTACCTGTTTCATCAGAGCTTTGATATGGTGGGCATTTCCTCGGCAGTAGGCCTCGAGGATCAGGCCGAACCTTAAAGCAAGCGAGGGGAGGTGCATTTCCGATCTGAGCGTGGGAAGAGAAAAATGTCAGCATTTTGAGCAGGGGGAGAGTTACAATAAGTGTCTACAACCACTTAACTTCCATGGCTCCCACGTTTGGCCATGGCACCAGGGTGGGGCGCGAGGAGGTTGTACCACCAGGCAAGATGGTTGCAAATCCGGGGAAAAAAGAACTAAAACTCAGTTAACCATGACATGTAAAGAAAGCTTCCATGTTCAAGGGCAGCCTACCTCCAAATCTCAGCTGCTGAGAAGTGAATAAAAGCGTGGGGGTGGGGGTCTTTATCATTTCCTCAACCTTTCCAATCATAGGGAACAGATAAACCGCCTTGCCTCTCCAAAACGCCTCTCTCACCTGAGATGCCAGAAGAGAAAGTGGCCAATTTTCCGGTTGGATAAGGCCCTGTCCAGAAGGAACTTGGTTAATTCGCAGTCTAAGTAGGACTGGTATTTCAGAACTTGGACCAGCTGCAAGAGATACTGGAACAATTCGGCATCTCTGCAGGAGAAGAGCAAAGGATTAATTCGCGGCACCCTTGGCCTTTATTCAAACCACACACCCAACCCTGAGTGAATTAACCTGTTTTCTGCGTTCGCCCTTTGCACTGGACTGACCAAAATAAATACATAAATAAATAAAACAAGCCAGGTTTAACCCAACCCATCTTGCCACATTGAGTTGAGGGAGCTGCCAGATCTTTGAACAACCTGGTTAAGTAGCTGACTTAAATACAGCCCTACCGATATCTCTTTTGAGGACGGTTTTGACTCCCACCCTGGTGGGGGGATGATGGGAGTTGTAGTCCAACCCACCTGGTGAGTGCCACACTTTGGGGGAGGGTCAGTAGCCCTGACCCCCTCCCCCCCCCTTCACATGGTCAATTTCATCTCTCCCCTCTATTCTTTAGGAAGCTTTGCCTTCTTTTTCTCTACGCCAAAAAGACATCAAGGCAGAAACAAACCCTGGTTCAAAGTCTGCCAAGTGGGTGTCCTCCGTTAGGGGCCCACTCCCGCCTCCCTAATCCATCGCATTTCCAGGTCACAAGGGGTTGAAATCTGCCCCAGTTTTGTGTGTGTGTGTGTGTGTGTTTTTAAAGTAAAATCTGAAATTGTTGAGCACAACAATTGTGTTTTTTTAAAAGCCCACCCTTTTCTTTCTCTTCCCCCCCCCACCCCACCCCCTATTTTTCTTCTTTTGAAGAGGGGAGACGCATTGTACTCACGTCAGCTTTTTCAGGGAGTTGACGGTGAAGCGGCCCACGTTGGGGTCAGGGAAACTGAAATCTAAAAGCTCCAGGGCGTTGAGAACAGGCAGCTCGGGCCAGGATTGGAGCAAAAAAACCATCTGTGAGACAAGCAGAGGATTAGCTCTGGATTGGGCCAAACCGCCGTCTTTTGCTCCCCTTCTGTCAGAAGAGCCCGGAAGGAAACACGGCCGTGGTATGCAGCCCCTAGACAGGGAGGCT